GAAGGTGTTTAGAAAGACAAGGGATACCCTACCTACCATGAGGCTACTTTTGGTAGCCCCTCCTTCCTCCCTCCCTCTGGGCCCCCCCGCCCCTGCCCTTCTCTCATCCTGGACCCGCCTCCGGGAGGGGCAGATTGGGGCATGGCCCCGCCCACCTCTGGGCCTGAGCTCCGCCTCCGGATCTTCAATCACAGACACCCCGCCCCCCTTCTCACACTGCACGCGCTGGGGTCACTAGGGTCTGTTTCCGGGACTTGTTGTGTCACTGGGGGCGTGTCTTCCGCCCCCTCTCTCCCAGGCCCGCCTGAGAGAAACTAGGGTGTCTCCCTGGCTGACTGAGCCTAGGCCGTGCCTGAGGGCTGAGGGAAACAGGGCCTTGGCCTTCTCTGGCCCAGCCAGGGGTCACAAGGGGAGCCCCACTCCCTGCCTGAGGTCACAGGGCCCGCCCTCTTCAGCATCCTGGGGTTAGCCCCGCCTTCTCCATGGTTACTGCTCGGGCTCCATTGGCTGGGGTAAGCCCCGCCTCCGGATGTGACATCACAGCAGTTAGTGGAATCCCCGCCCAGCTAAGGTGGGGCCTATCAGTTGAGGGGGGCGGGGTAGGGCTGCTGCTGGAGGTCCTCACACCGCCCATCCCCCCCCAACCCGTACCCCACTTTATTCCTGGGCCCCTCAGACTCTTCTAGGTCGGCCTCCCTGCCCAGGCCTGGGTAAGGGTGGGGTGGGACCCGCCGAAAGCCCTTGTGGGGTGCCCCCTCCCCTTCCCCTTTCTCAGGTGTCCGGGGCTAAGTCCGGGTTGGGGGGCGCGGCTAGTGGTTCTCTTGGACCCTCCGGTCCTGGGGTCAAAGAGCGCATTGGGGAGCGGAGCCCCCCCCCTCAATCCCTTGTTTCCTGACTTTTCCTGTCATTGTGCGGCTGTTTTTATTCCCGCCTCCAAGGACGCCCCGCTTCCCTGGACGTCGTCGGGCACACCCCGTCTCAGCCCCCTATTCTCCTCCTTATTTTCCCCTTCCCCCAACCCGTCTCCCCTGAGCCTCCGACCCCCCCCCCAAGAAAAACAAACCCCTGTTACACAAGGAGGCGTCCTCAGCTTCCCCCCTTGGCCGAGTCCGAAAACGCCCCGTCTCCTTACCCTCCTGAGCCGGTCACCTTGGTGACCCGGTGGGGGGGCAATGTCCTTTATGGGCCCCTGCAGGGACCATCCTGAAGTCTGTCAGCAGGGCACACACCCTCCCTTTTAGGGGTCCCTGCCTCTCCCTGGGGAACCCCTCCCTCAGGGACCTGGGTGCAGGAACAATATGTCTTTGTGGGGGCCAGGTTTGCATCCCCCATCTTAGACCCCTGAAAAGGGGCAAAGGACAGTTCCCGCCTAGGACTGCCGCCCATGTAACTGGCTCTTGCAGACCGATTTTTAAAAACTTTCAGGGAATTGAATTTAATTACTTCAAATTTATGTAATTCAACTTAATAGTCTCTAACCAGAACAATAACATAACCATCACAATAAGTACTCAGAGTCCAGAAAGACAAATTCCTCTATTGACTAAGTCCAGATGTGCATTTCTTTCTGGATTTTAATCTATAACCCCTATCACAAAAGCCATGGGTGGCTGGAGTGATTCATCTCCAATCCTCTGAACTCTAGATTTATCATTGCAATAATTAGAATTCCAATAGCTTTCAAAATCTTTTTTCCCTTTGATGTTGTGTGAATTATTCTAGTTCTGCTCACTTCACTCATCAAAATATTGCTCATTTTCCTCTCGAACTGCCCATTTCACCATTGCTTATGGCAAAATAATATTACCTAATGTTCTTTTGCAACAGTTTGTTTACACATTCCCTATTAGGTGGCTAAGTCCTTAATTTCTAGTTTAGGGCTACTATAAAAGGAAGTGCTCTAAATAATTTGCATAGATGATGACTCTTTTTGCAATAAACCTAGTATTAGTGTTCTTGGTTCAAAATATTCATATTTTAGTTTTTTGGGGTATACTTCTAACTTTCCTGAGTTACAAGAACAGTTCACATCTCCATTATGTTTTCCCACAGTCCCTGCAACCTTTTTTGTTTTCCAAATTGGGGTGGGTTTGAGGTGGAACCTGAGAGTTCTTTTAGTTGGCATTTATTTAATTATTAGTAATATGGAGCATTTTATCATATGGTTTCTCATAGGTTAAATTTCTTCCTTTGAAAATTGCCTGTACAAAGAATTGAAAATTAAGGGGATGCCCATCAGTTAAAGAATGGCTGAAGGAATGTTATTGGGCCATAAGAAATGTTATTCTGCTGTAAGCAGGATGTATCTGAACAACCTAGGAAGATTTTTTATGCATTGTTGTAAATTGAAATGAGTAGGAGGAGGAAAATATTTTAAACAGTACCATCAAAATTGTAATGTTGATCAACTTTGAAACTATTCTGATGAACACTTTGATCCAAGACAGTTTCAAAGGACCCATAATGAAAAATGCTATCTACCTCTAGACAGAGAACCGGTAAAGAATGAGTATAGACTGAAGCATACATTTTTCACTTTCTTTTTGTTCCTTGCTTTTCATCCTTTATTTTTAAAACATGCCTAATGTGGAATTGTGTTTTGTATGACTTCACGTGTTTTATTTATATCACGTAGCTTGCTTTCTTAATTGGTGTTAAGGGGAGTCAGAGAATTTGGAACTGAAATTAAAAACAAAAACATTAAAGATAAATAAATGAAAAGAAAAATTGTTCATATGCTTTGACAATTCATTTTTAGGGAATGATTATATATTATAACATATAATATGTTATATATAATATTAATATATATAAAATATTGTATATAATTATATGTAATTGTATATTATAATATATATAATATATATAATATATGAATATGAATATGTATATATATAAATATAAATATAAATTTGAATCAGTCAGTATGGTTGTGGTTTGTCCTTCGTTTTCGAAGGGGACTATGACATAAGGCAGATAATAACATGACTTGGGGTATACTTGATTTGAGTGAGGGAGGACTGTGCAAAGTCACCAGCCTCACTTTCTCCTCTAGAGCCATCTGGGTCCAGTGGCCAGATATCGATGAGAATGACTAAGATGTAGTGGGAGACCTTGTGCCTTTTAAGCGAAGGTCTTTTCAGGTTCTCACTGAGTGAGGCAAGGTATAGAAGATAGGATTTTAGCTAGGTGTTGAAGGAAGCCAGGGGACCAAGCAGGTGGAGATGAGGAAGGAGAACATTATAGGCATGAGGAACAGCTGATGAAAATACCTGGAGTCTAGAGATGGAGTTTCTTCTTCACAAAACAGCAAAGGAGGCTGGTTTGACTGGATTGCAAAATATATGGAGAATGGGGTATAAGGCATAAGAAAACTGAAAGGTAAGAAGGAGGTGAGGTTCTGAAGCTCCTTCTGTGCCAAATGAGAGCATCCCGTAAACAAGGAGAGAAGACAATAACAAGAAGAGGGACATCAACAGTGTCAAAGGCTACAGATCCAGATCGATGAAGACTGAGAAAAGCCAATCCATTTGGCAATTAAGAGATGGTTAGTGACTTTAAAGGGAGCAGTTTCAGTTGAATGTTAAAGAAACCAGAATGCAAAGAGTTAAGAAGACAGTGAGAGGAAAAGAAGTGGAGGAACCTATTACAGATGACTTTCTCCAGGAGTTTAGCTGCAAAAGGCAGGAGAGCTGAGGGATGGATGATCAAATGAGGATCTTTGAGGATGGAGGACCCATGAGTATGCTTGTAGTCCATAGGGAAGCATCCAGAGGACAAGGAGGAACCGAAAATTAGTGAATGTGGGGATAATAAAAGGGGCAGTCTGCTGGATGATAGGATGGTATGGGATCCCTTCTGCATGTAGAGGGGTTTGCCTTGGTGAGGAGAAGGGCTGCCTTATTATGTGAAACTGGAGTGAAGGAGGAGATAGTAGCAGAAGACATGGAGTTGATGGGAGATGAAGAGGGGAGAAGAGGGAGCTTTCAGCTCCCTCAAATGGCCCCAGCATTATTAGTAAATTCTGGGCAAGGTTCTCAACTAATAAGGTACAGGAAGGGGAATTGTGGGACATTTGAGGATAGATGGAAGAGTTTGTAATAACTTTAGTGGTGAGTGGGATCGTGAGATAATTGGAGAGGCATAAAAAGATTGCTTTGCTGCACAGAGAGCCTAGTTGAGGTTAAGTAGCATAAAATTGAGAGGACTCAGCCATTATCGTTTCCTGATTTTCTCCAGCTTCACTCAGTAGCATGTGTGACAGAACAAAAGCAATGGATGATGGCAGTGATTCAAGGCAGCGGTTTTCCTGGGAAGGGAGGGCTCAAGAAACTCAAGAGAAGAGCACAGTTTAGAGTTCACCTAGTTCACCAAGGGATCAAGATAGAGAAGGGGGGAGAGTGCAGCTAGTGCAGGGATGATGGCCTGGGAAAAAACTGAGGGGGTGAGGCATTCGAGGTTGTGATGAGTTTGGAGTTGCAAGGTGGAGAGAGGTAGAATGACCATAGATGTGATCAGATGAGAGCATTTCATACTTCTTGAATATGGAGGTGTCTTATTTGTGGGTGATGCCAAGATCAGAGGTATGACCTTTGTGTGCAGGTGAGGTAGTGTAGCGGGTCACTTGAGATGAAACTGAAGGAATCATGAGTTTAGGGTGTTGGAGAGACTATCAAAGTGAATGTTGAAGTCCCCTAATACGAGGACAGAGTTGGGGAGAAGAGAAAGACTATGAGCCAGACACTGAACACTTTAAGGAAAGAAGGGCAGTGTCCTGGAGGCCTGTAGACAGCCTAGATTTTTGAGTGAGTGGTAGATATGGATTGAGTGTCCCTCACCAAAGAAGCTATTGAGTGATGGGAGAAGGACAGCCTAGAAGTGACAGTGGAAAGCAAGGAATATTCCAACTCTTCTACCTTAATTAATGAGTACAGAGAATGAGTGAAAGTGTAACCAGTGCTTGAAAGGGAGGCCAGGAAGGCTGTGTCATCAAGCGGGAGACAGGTAGATCTCAGAGTGGGAAAGGGAAAGATGTAAAGTAAAAGCAAGTTTGTTACCTGGGGAGCTGGCATTCCAGAAGACACAGTGCTAGGTGAGTAGCTTTAGAGTGGGATACTAAGCTGTCGAGTGGAGGGATGGGCCTGTGGGGGAAGAGGAGAATGGAGAACTGAGTTTGAGTACTGCGGGGTGAAGGTGAGAGAGCAGAATTAGTGAATTGAGAAGGGTATGACCAGGGGCTACAGTTTATTATTCATTGAGGAATGATTTCAGGTAGGTTTTCATTGTGCCTACAGATGTAGCCTCAGGGTACTGTTTCCTCAGGCCTTTAAAGGATGGTGTTATTCTCCTTCTCCCAAGTCAGGAGACCAGGCTGCATGCTTGATGGAACAGCCTTTCTCTTCTTGGCTGGGAAGGAAGAATATTCCGTGATGAAATGTCTTCCCCTAATTTAACAACTGATTGTTAATATAATAGAAAAACATCCCTTTTCTCGGCAAGAAGACAAGATTTGGAAGTAGAAAACCCGGATTGGAATTACAGCCTTACTTCTGAGGGTAATGATTACAGCTGTAGCCTCACTCTCTGTTGTTATATACTCACAGGAGTATTGGATTTCTTTTTGCTTGCCCTGGACAGGCCAGATAGATGGTGTGGTGGATAGAACACTGGGTTTCAGTGTTCCAGGAAGATCTGGGTTCAAGTCTGGGCTTAAACACTTACTACCTATATGAACCTGGGCAAGTTACTTAACTTTTATTTGCCTCAGTTCCTCATTTGGAAAACAGGAAGACACTGGAGAAGGAAATAGCAAATTGCTCCTATATCTTTGCTTAGAAAACCCCACAGATAAGAGTCAACAGCATCACATAAATTTGGGCATCACTGAGTGACTGAACAACAACAACAAGATCCAGGACCCTGGGCAAATATTTACCTAAAGGCCAGATTTCACCCTGGTGCAATCTCATTCAAACTTGGTATTTCTTCCATAAATTTCCTTCCAGACAAGGATCGGTCATTTTTTGCGGTTATTTCCTAAAAATTTTTCACTCCTTTGGTTGGGCAACATTAAGGCTTCGTCCACCTCACCACAACAGAGGGTAGAACCAGCTGTCACCACTGCTATGAAGGCTGATCTTGTATCAGAAGACTTCTGATGTGATGGAGAGTTAAAAAGATACTTTTGATGGTGATGACTTAGTCTGAGTTCATATTGACGCTGAAGGAGTTCAGTACACTCTTCATTTCATAAATTGAGAATTTAATTTAGTTCCATTCTGCCTGCTTAATGAGGAAGCAGCTGTAACATAAGATAAAATTCTACAAATATGTCGCCTAAAATGAGGAGGTTTGGACGCGAGATGACAGGCTAACAGTATAATATCTGCGATAGGAACAAGACAGGGATCTCAATTGCAGAATAGATTCTTCCTAGCCTGAAACTTTCCCTCCAATGCAATATTCCGCGTGTCCACAAGATGGCACCTGAACGTTGCTATAATAATCTTCAGTATCTTTTTTGACCACCAGATGTCAGCAGAAGACTATGACAGCATCTTCAATGGCACTAAATTGGTCAAAACCGTATTTATTAAAAGCATACTGTGTGCCACTTTCTGCTCTGGGTGCTAGGAGTGCAGAGACAAAAAGGAAGCAGTCCCTGCTTACAGAGAAAAGTACATCCTGTTGATGGAGACCAACTCTGTAGGAGTGATAAAAACTTAAATAAGCGTGACCCTTAAAAAGAGGAAGGAGACAAGTCTCACTGTTCTTTTCCAGAGCTGAAAGTTCCACAGGGATGGCAGCACGAATTTGTTTTCAGATATTTTAAGTACATTGATTGGCTTCACTGAATTTTTCTTTAACATTTTTTTTCTTCTGTAAGATGGCTCTCTGTATACTTCTGTTGTTCAGTCATTTTTCATTCATGTCAGACTTTTTGTGACCTCATTTGGGGTTTTCTTGGCAGAGGTACTAGAGTGGTTTGCCTTTTCCTTCTCCAGCTCATTTTACAGGTAAGGAAACTGAGGCAAACAGGATTAAGTGATTTACCCAGTGTCACACAATGAATAATTGTCTGAGGACAGATTTGAACTCAGGTCTTGTTGACTATGGGCCCAGTGCTCTATCCACTAAGCCACCTAGCCCTAATCTCTATATAAATGAAACACTGTAGAAATATGAACCATCTATTGGTCAAGGCTTTTATAATGAAATGAAGGGGGCCAGAGGGGTCAGCTATGATGGAGGTCATGCCTTCTAGAAGTGTTGACTGGTAACTGTCATTTTCTCATGCAGGCCTGTGCCCCTCTTGCCTACTAACCTTTTTCAGCCTCAGTTTCCTCATCTGTAAAATGAGAATGATCCTGGCATCTTGTGCCTATCAGGGCTTTTGTAAAGAAAGCACTATGTCCATCTCAGTGTTGTACAGAAATGTGAGTTGTTTAATCATTATTACTATCTGAAGGAATCTCTGTCCTGGGAAGAGAAGAGAAAGGAGAGGAAGGCAATAAGAGGAAGCTTATGCAAGGACAAAGAATGGCTGAAAAGTAAGTACCCTAAGTATGGCATATACCAGGGAACACTAAGCATGAGGGGAGACTGAGCCCTGGGACACCATCAATCTACTCCATCCAGGTGAGAGGTCCATGGGTGTAACACATTTTGCCAATTGCATCAATCACTTTTGCTCCCTTTTTTTCTCACTAAAAAGAAAAAAATCCTATTTGTCACGTGGCATGGTGTTCCAGGATGAGGAGAAAAAGAAATACACAGGCTACCCTGGTGATATAAGAAATGGAAAATATCAATGAAACTTTTTAAAAAGAGGTCAACTATCTCAAGGATATTGTTATTGTTTATCCTTTCTGGAGGTGATGATGCCATGACTGACAAGTGAATTCGATTTAAGTGAGGGAGGGCAGTGCAAAGTCACCAGCCTCACTTTCTTCTCTGGAGCCACATGGGTCTAGTGGCAGATATGATCAGGATGAATGGAGGTGATCCCAATGCAGTGAGAGACCTTGGCTTTTATAAGCTTAAGTCTTTCCCAGGTCTTAGTTTGACTTAGGCAACGCCCATTCAGAAATTAAGGCTAGATAAGTAATGAGACAAACATCTCAAGGGTGATAATGGAGAGGAAAGGGAGGAAAGAAAGGATTTTAGATTAGTGATTATCAGTAGCAGATCTCAAACTATACTACAAATCACACACCCAGACACATACAATCCTACCTACTCACAGAACACATGCATAAGCAAAGGTATGCATACTCTGAAGACCCCCTACCCATGCCCACACACATCCCCCTTGGCACTAAAATAAACCATTTTGGGGTGGGGCCATTCAGGAGAAGACTGAAGAAAGTACAGAAGAGAATATAGGGGGTGGGAGAATGTGGAGGGGCAGGAGGGGGAGCAGGAGGGGCAGTAGCAGGAGGGGTGTAGGTGGGGCTTATCTCATGCACAGGAAAGTGCAGGAATTTCTAAGATCTCTCAGGCCAAGGTGTAGGAAGGAAGTGGGAGAGGGAAATGTAGGGGGTTAGGGGCAGGCAAATGTCGAGCTGCTCATAGTGCCCAGTCTCAGGGGAAAAGGGACCTCCCTCCTTCTCCTCCTGCTCCTTCTCCTTCCCTAATGAAATTTTCTGGTCCTCTAAGGCCATAAAAAGTCCCTCCAATGGGCAGTCAGGACCTCTCCAACCTGATGAATTTCTGAAGGCCACTCAAGTCCTCATACTCTTCCCTGACACCCTACTCTGACAACCAGATGTGTTTATATGGAGATGAGAGGGTCTGTATCCAGACAAGCTGTGTCACTCTATTTTTGTTGATTTCTATGCTGTTTTAACTCAAAGTAAATCTGGTACTGTTAACTGTCCAATAAACTCCCACTATCTCATTTCATCCCAACACATACCGTGAATTAAGAGATTGCTGGGGCTCAAGACTACTCTGACAGCCTGGCACAAGAGAGATACTCAGAGACTTCTGCATTCACTGACACTGTCCAAAGGAAGCCTTCTCCTGACTCTAGGCCTGCAGCATCAAAACTTTTCTTGTTTGTTAGAGTCAGAAAGAAGAAAAATCACAGTAGCAATTACATACATCAAAGAGTTGGGAGAATTGGAAACACCATTCTAGGCTCAAAAAATTTGAGGAAGATCAGAGTAGATGATCAACAAAATCTGAGTTAGTTCCTTGTTTATTAGATTTTAAGTCAAATTGTTGTAGAATATAAATTATTTGTTGAGAACCTACTGAATGTTCAGGATAATGTGAGGCTGTGCAGAGGAGTGGTGTGGGGTTAAGAATGAGGAAGGGTGGAGATTAGGGGGAATAGCTCCCCTGAGGCAAGTTCCAGAACTAAATGTTCTGTTCTTCTCCTTCCTATTGCCCTTCATTCCCTTTGAATCACATTTCCAACAAGTTAGACACATCTTTTGGGTAATAACATTGAAGACATAAACACGGATTTTTGATGTTCAGAAAGTGGAAGTGGGAATTGACATGGGAGGTATGTACTACAGCATTTAGTACAGTTCTTTACACATAGTAAGTGCTTAAACAAATACTTTTTCATTCATTCATGGCTGGCAGTACAGGTCTCTCCTTGACTAGATCATTGGTTTGGGGCTGTTAAGTAATCAATAGTCTCCACCGAATTTTCTCTGGAAAAAATCTAAAGGAAATGTCAAAAACATCAGGAAAATGCACATGGAATGCAAACTTGAGGAGATGGAGTTGCCATAGCAACCCTCTCCATGATTATTTTGTGAATTATAGAAAGAGTGCCTAGTAATTGCCATTCAGGATGTGCTCTGATTGCTTGAGGAGGTCTGTTAACTCTTTTGGACATTGGGGGCAATTGCCTTTCAAAGGCTGTTGGCAGAGAGTTGGGGGGCACCATGTGTCAAACAAATCAATACATCACCACAACCTTGTCCAGCATCTCCCCAGAAACGAAGATGGAGACAAATCCATGTCCTGAACCCCAGAGCCTTGGAAAGAAGAGGCTCTCCCAATCCAACAGACCTCCATCAAGCCCTGTCCCCATAAACATCTTGGAGGGGAGAAATCATTGGAAAGACAGAGCCCACCTTTCTCATCACTACCAGCAGCAAGTACCGACCAATTGGCACCACTACACACAAAAACACACAAGAGTCCTTGAAGTGGCAGCATTCTCCGGAACAGCCAGCCTGCTTCCAGCCCATCTCTCACAGCCATCAGCTGGGGAAGCATCTCCTGCAGAGCAGAGACCAGCAAACTCCGCTAACCTACCAAGCAGTTGCCACTCATAGGGCAGGCAAGCCAGACTAGCTGAAGAAGTAAAGCAAGCTGAGGGAGGGACAGGAGGCAGGTCAGGCTTTAATTCACTTTGGGATTCTTAGAATCAGTCTGGGGTGAGTGTTTCTGGCATCAACTCTAAATCTCTCTTTCTGCAAGATTCACCCATTACTCTGATCCCTGAGCACTGTCTAATCCATTTGACAAGGCCTGCCTGACATACACCTCTTCCCTTGTATGGATGTAAACAGTTCAGCTCCATTGAGTCCCTTATGTTTTCTTTTCCCTATTTATCTTTTTAGGCTTCTCTTGGGTCTTGATATTGGAGATCAAATTTTTGGTTCAGTTCTGGTCTTCTCCTTGTGAAAGCTTGAAATCCTTCTATTTTATTGAATGTATTGCTACCCCTGTTTTATTTTAATTTCAGCTGAAACATAACAGATTCTGCTACATCCCTTTAAATTTACCCTGTGTATGATTCTTGTAAGCAATATATTATAAGATTCTCATTTTTTTAATCTACTGTGCTATCAGATTCCATTTTATGAGAGAGTTCAACCCATCCACATTCACAGTTATGATTACTACCTGTGTATTTCCCTCCATCCTATTTTTTCCTCTTGTTTGTCCTCTCTCTCCTTTCACCCTTTCTCTCCTCACCAGTGTTTGGCTTCTCTCTACCACTTCCCCTGATGTGCCTTCCCTTACATCAGCACACCCCCCCTTTTACTTAATCTCTCCTGTTCCTACATCCCTGTTGGGTAAGATAGATTTCCATATTCAGTTGAATGTGTATATGATTTGAGCCAATACTAGTGATAGTAAAGTTCAAACAAAGCCCATCGCCTATAAATTAATTTGCTTATTCAGTGCCACATAATCAAACTACCAAAAATTATTTCACAGAGCTATAAAAGCCATAACAAAATTCATCTGGAAGAACAGAAAGTCTAGAGTATGAAGGAAATTTATGAAAAAAGTGAGAAGTTAGGTGGAGACTAACCTTACCAGATCTCAGACTTTATTACAAAGCAGGAATCATCTAAACTGTCTGGTACTGTTTAAGAAACAGCATAGTGGATCAGTGGAATGGATTAATTACAAAAGACACAGTAGTAAATGACCATAGTAATGTAGTGTTTGATAAACCCAAAGACCTTAGCTTCTGGGACAAGAACTCATTATTGGACAAAAACATATGGGAAAACTGGAAAACTGTATGGCATAAACTAGGTATAGAATAATATCTTACACTGTATACGAAGAGAAGGTCAAAATGGGTACATGATTTAATATAAAAGGTGATAATATAAGTAAATTAGGAGAGCATGGAATAGTTTACCTGTCAGATCAATGGAGAAGGGAAGAATTTAGACCCAAACAAGAGATAAAAAGGATTACAAAATGTAAAATGGGTTATTTTGATTCTATTATATGAAAAAGTTCTTGTACAAACAAAACCAATGCAACCATGATTTGAAAGAAAGCAGAAAGGGGGTAACAATTTGATAGCAAATATCTCTGATAAAGGCCTCATTTTTCAAATATATAGAGAACTGAGTCAAATTTATAACAATGCAAGTTATTCCCCAATGCATATGAATGGTCAAAGGATATAAACAGGCAGGATTAAGATGAAGTCAAGGTTATCTATACTCATATAAAAAACTGCTCTAAATCACTAGTGATTAAAGAAAGGCAAAATACAATAGCTCTAAGCTGCCACCTCACACCAGTTAGATTGGCTAATGTGATAGAAAATAAAAATGAAAAATGTTGGAGGGGATAGATGTGGGAAAATTGGGACTCTAATGCACAGCTGGTGGAGTTGTGAGCTGTTCCAAACATCCTAGAGAGCAATTTTAACTATGCCCAAAGGGCAAACCATGCATACCATTTGATCCAGCAATACCACTAGATCTGCATCCCAGATAGATAAAAAAAAAATGGGAAAGAACCTAATTGTACAAAAATATTTATAGCAGCACTTTTTGTGGTGGCAAAGAATTAGAAATTGAAGGGATGCCCATCAATTGGGGAAAGGCTGAACAAGTTGGGATGTATGAATGTAATGGAATACTATTATGCTACAAGGAATGTCGAGCAGGCAGATTTCAGAAGAATCTGGAAAGATTTACATGAACTAATTCGAAGTGAAATAAGAAGACCAAGAGAATATGGCACAAAGTAATAGCAATATTGTAGGATGATCAGCTACGAATGATATAGCTCTACACAGCAACACAATGGTGTAAGGCAATTGCAAAAGAATCATGAGGAAAAGTGCTATTCACACCCAGAGAAAAAACTGATGGAGTCTTAATACACATTGAAGCATACCATTTTCACTTAATTTTTTTTTCATGCTTTTTTCTTTTGATCTGTTTCTTCTTCCACAACATGACTAATATGGGAAAATGTTTTACATGATTGCACTTACTGTCTTAGAAAGGGGGAAGGGAAGGAAGGGAGAAAATTTGGAATTCAATAATTTTTAAAATTTATTTTAAAATTGTTTTTATGTGTAATTGGAAAAAATAAAATATTATTTAAAAATATTATTATGACATAATGAATAACAAAGGGGACCACTTCAAAGAAATTTGAGAAGACTAATGCTGAGTAAAGTGAACAAAAGTAGAGAACAATTTATGCAATAACATCAACAGTATAAAGGCAATTTTGAGACACTTAAGAACCCTGACCAATGTAATGACCTAGTATGACTCCCAAGGACTCATGAAGATGCATATTGGACAGCTCCAGACAAAGAGGTCATGGACTGACTCAAGGTGCAGAATGAGACAGGTTTTTAGATGTGGCCAATAGGAGGATTTGCATGGCATGACTACATATTCATATTTTATAAAAGTTTAGCTATTCTTTTCTTTTTTTAATTGGCCAAGGGAGGGATGGGAGTTAGATGGAGGAGGAAATTAACATTTGTTCATTGAAAAAAAGTAAAATAAAAAGTTGTTTATATAAAAGAATGCAGATTCCCTCAAAAGGAATAAACAAGTGAGGAGAAGGAATGGATTTTGAGGAAAACTATAATGACATACAGTATGAGACCTTGCTAGGACCTTGTTTATCAGTTAGTGGTCTCACAGTGGGACTACGCTTTGGTTGGTGGTTTTCTTTGGAGGGAAGGGTCTGGGATTTTGTAGATAATCAGATTGGAGGTGTGGCACCTGCCTAATGATCATGATGGGGACCAAGCATTCAAGTGGTGATTTCAGTGTGGCTCCAGTGAATGCTTTGGCTATAGCTCTTCCATATAATTGGGGTCTGAGTGAGGCCCTGGAACACAAGTGGCGGTGTCAGTTGGGGCCTGGGATTTGATGGGTCACCTTCATGGGGGCCAGGTGGACAAGTAGAAGTCTGAATAGAGATCTGACATTTAATTGTAGATCTCTCTGAGTATGTTATCCATGACAGACACTACCCCTACTGTGGGAGTCTGTCAGCTCTGGGCTTTTGAAGGAGAAGAGGTTCTGATTGGGTTTGTTTTTCAAATCTCAGACTCTTGTCATTGCTATGGAGGCTGCTGCAGATTCCTCCAAGACCACCATTCAGGAGCTAGACACCCATGAAGATCACCAATCAGATGCCAGGGTCCCACTGAAAACTGCAGTTGGAGGCCAAGGCCCCATTAGCATCACCAACTGCTTGGAGAAAGGATGAGAAAAATATGAAGAAAGTGGAAGACAGAAACAAAATTAACTGTGAGAGAGAAGCAGTGAGACTAGCATCTCCTGAAAGGGATCCTGGAAAAGAGATAAGACAAATCCCTGGCCTTAGGACCTCACCCCCTCTTGAAGAGGAAGCTGGCTGTGATGTCTGACCCCAAAAGCCTTCTTAAAGAAAGAGCCCAGACTAGTCATTAGAACCTGGCATTGTATCTCTGACTCCTCAAAAAGTTACTTGCTGTCTTTGTACCTCAGCCTCTTCATCTTAAAAATGGGCTGTTTGTCCTCAATTATCTGTAACATCCCTTCTGGCTCTACCATACTATGTTCCAAGGTCCCTTCAAGATCTAACATTCCATGTCCTGTGTGCTCACTGCCTCTGCAGGTGTGACTCTGCCTGAGCAGTTCTTCCATCTCTAACGTTGTGGAGGCTCCTTTCTGCTTAGACATTCTCCAATAAAGGCCCTTTTCAACTCAGACATTCTCTGTTCTGTGGTTAGATAAAAAGAAGCCACAGTGTGGAACTTTTTTTTTTTTGCAAGCCAGTTGGGGTTAAGTGACTTGCCTGGGGCCACACAGCTAGTGAGTGTCAAGTGTCTGGTCTGAAACTGGATTTGAACTGAGGTCCTCCTGATTTCAGGGTCGATGTTTTATCCACTGCACTACTTAGCTGCCCCAAAATTCTCTTTTTCTAAAAGACACCTGTATTGTTAGAGCTCTGAAAAACTCATTCACTCCAATTCTTTGAGAATACTAAAGGCATCATTGGGCCATTTGAATAGAGGGCAATGCTTCTAATAGGGGCCTGGTATAGTGATTAGAGTGTTGGATTTGAATTCAGGAAGACCTGAGTTCAAATCAATCCACACACAGGTCACAGCTGTGTGACCCTAGGGAAGTCACTTAACCTCTCTGCATCTCAGATTCCTTATCTGCAAAGTGAGATAGAAACTGGATTCACTGGTCTCCGAGGTATCTTCCAGCTCTAACATCTAGGATCCTTTCATCCTCTAATTGCATAAGTTCACCCTCTCCCCACAATCCCCAACACATACATAGTTGGATGGGGACTACATTATGTTTTTGGGAAGCCATTAATGTGGCCCCAAATATACCAATCTGAATCTAGGTGGGTTCCTGTGTTCCCTCAGTCTGTCTGGGGCATGAGCAATCAGTATTTCCAGGCTGGTTTTATCTAAACCTAAAGTCTGTACTAAAGGAAGATTGTTCAAAGGAGCCTACCCAGAAATCCTGCCCACAGAGCTGCTCCTGTGTGAACCAGGGCTGGGCAGGGAGCATAAAGTCCAATTGGAGTCTCTCAGAGAGAGAAAGTGAAAATTGCCTGGGCTGATCGAGAGAAGCAACAGGGAGCTGCCTTGGGCAAAGGCTTGAAATCTGGAGAGGAGGAGGACCTAGGCAAGTTAATGCCTGTGAGTGGCATCCCAGGCTGGTGGAACATTTGGAGAGGGGGGAAGGGCTGGCAGAGCAATGAGGAGCTTCAGCTGTCAGGGCTGCAGTCTTAGAATCATGGAATCTTCCAATCACAATCCCCTAGAGCTGGAGGGGACTGCAGATGCCACATTCCCAAGCCTGAGCACCAACCCCCTCTACAACATGCAGAACTTGTGGGCATCCAGGAAGGGCTAGAGAACTCAGGCCTTTCTTCCTGAGGCAGCCTCTTCCACTTTGGGGCAGCTGCCTCATGGAGGGAGAGCAGTGATTTCAGCCTGATCCCCCTTCCTCCTCTCATCTAGAGAGAATACTCCAACATTCTCAATCCTCTCTTCTCTCTCCCCTCTCCCCACCACAGAGGGCTAGAAGTGTCATATCTAGGTATCAGGGCATCCTGTCCACAGGGATCCATCCTGGGACCCAGTCCTGAAAGAGATGTCAGAAGTGGGTCTGGAACCCAAAAGAGGTCAAGTGAACTGTCATGGTCACCCAGGTTATTAGAATCTCAGACAGTCAGAGCCAGGATTCCAAACCAGGCCCTCTGACTCCAACCCCAGTGTTCTGTCCATTACATGGCAGATGTCTGTCCCTTCACGGAGTGGAGGAAGAGGTAAATAGGCTTAAATAATGTTCAGATGTAGAGGATCTATCTAGATGGGAAAGCCTGGCCAGGAACTGCACTGGGGAGGAAGAAGTTGGGGTGCTGGAGGGAAGGCCCTCCTCTCCATGAGATCAGATCTAACCTTGGTTCCCCCCAGGACCAAGGCTGAGGTCAATCTAGCCAGGCAAGAAAGCTGCAGGCAGAGTGGTTCAGAATGGGATTGGGGGTACTGGGACTGGTCCCAGATACCTGTAAGCTCAGCCCTTGCTTAATGAGTGAGGCATTGACCTCCAGAGAGCCCTGTAAGGGAGAGAAGGGAAGGAGACTTAGAAGTTCCTACATTCAAAGTGGCAGAGGCCCTTGGAAGATCATCTCACCTCCAGAGAGGAGGAACTTGTCAAGGGGATTCACAGAATATTTAGCAAATGATATCATTCCAACAGTGAAGTTACAAAAGTGTTGGTCTACCCTTGAAAAAGATAATTGATCTTTTAATTTACTTAGAATGATTATATGCAGTGGAATTCATTGAATATCATACTAAATAAGAGCAAGGGAAGGTTTACTGAAAAGCCAAGGGGGTAAAGAGCCTGAAAAGGTAAGGAACCCCTGCTCTGAACTGACCATCTGAGCCACTGCACAGAGTTTGAGGAAGGGCATGGAGCTGAGGCCTGAATCCAGACACTTTCTGCTATGCTCAGCCCAGGCCAGATCCATGCTTCCTTCTCACTTTCTACAGCCAAACACAAGCTGGTAGGCTCCCCAGCTTTGGCCCTCTGTTCTCCTAGTACACACAGTCAGACTGTGTCTAGCAGGACATAACCAAGGAAAGCCACACAATTTCTTCTGAGGGTAAAACCGGATGGCAATCCCCAGAAATGTCAAAATCCCTAGAGAAGATCTAGTCTGGGCATTTCTTCCCCTCTATATTTTTTAATGTATTACTTATAAACGAATTTAGTATTTATTATTAAAATTATGTTTGTTTTATATTTTGAGTTCCATATTCTCTCCCTCCTTCTAACCCCTCCTCTGACCACTTAGAGACAAGCAATATATTATAAAAGTTAAACCATGCAAAACCAATTTGCATATTAGCCATAAGAAAAAGCTAGAAAAATAAAGTGAAAAATTATGCTGCAATTTTCATGCAGAGTTCATCAGTTCTCTCTCTGGAGGCAGATGATATTTTTTTCATTATAAGTCCTTTGGAACTCTTTTGATCATTGTATTGATCAAAGCAGCTAAGTCTTTCACATTTAATTATCATTATAACATTGCTGTTTTTGTACATAATGATCTCTTATTTCTGGTCACTGCATGAGTTCATATAAGTATTCCCAGGCTTTTCTGAACGATCCCTCTGGTTGTTACTAATAGCACAACAATACTCCATCATAATCATATGCCACAACTTGTTCAGCCATTCCCCAATTAAGGAGCATCTCCTCAGCTTCCAATTCTTTGACACCACCAAAAGAGCTGCCATAAACATTTTTGTACATATAGATCCATTTTCTTTTGCTTTGATCCCTTTGGATACAGACCTGGTACTGTTATTGATGGGTCAAATGGTATAAACAGTTTTATAGTCCTCTGGGCATAGTTACAAATTGTTCTCCAGAATGGTGGTGAAGAGGTCTAGAGGTTTGTGGGGTGCTGCTGGGAACCTCCGAGATTGTGACACCAGGCCCTACCTAAATGAATTCAACTTAAATTTTCCAGCTAGAAAAAAAGTTTATTAGTGATAAAACACATAGGCCAGGTGACGCCTGTAAGGACAAGCGGGCATGAGAAAAGCTCAGCCTTTGGGGCATGAGAGATTCTCAGAGTCTGAATGGGTCTCAGGGTAGATTTTTTATACACTGAAGTAACTTTGGGTTGCCAGAGAAGGGGGCTGGAAGGGAGAGGTTTGAAAGGCATCTGCATAAGATCAAAAGGTGAGGCTAGGGCTTTCAAAGGGAGATAAGGGGAGTAGATAAGGAACTTAACAGTGTTTTCTGGGGCCTTTAGACAAATGAGAATAGATAATGGGAGGAACTGGAAGGAAGAAGTTTGAAAGGTGTAAGATCAAAGGGTAGAGCTAGGGCTTTCAAAGGGAGATAAGGAGCTGGGGCCTGTAATCAAACAGGAGTCAGATTCCCTTTGGGGCAAGGGGCTAAGATCTTGGCTTGGGCCCACCCCATCAGGGGGACTTAGCAGACAACTTTACCAATGATTCATTAGTGTGCTTATTTTCTTTCATCCCCTCCAGGATCATTTCTGATAAGTGTGAGATGGTACCTCAGAGTTGTTTTCATTTGCATTTCTCTAAAATTCAGTAATTTAGAACATTCTTTCATACAAGAATAGATAGCTTTGATTTCTTCTTCTGAAATCTCCCTGTTCATATCCCTTAGACTATTGATCAGTTGGAGAAGGGCTTTTATTTTTATAAATTTGACTCAGTTACCAATATATTTCTGGCAAGACATATTTATCAAAGAAACTTGCTTTAAAATTTTTTTATATTACTTTATTATCTGTGTTACCTTTTAGTAAAACTAGTTTCCCTGATTATCTCTTTTAATTGGGTCTATTTTTGATTTGTCTGAGATCACAATGTGTACCTCTGCCTTTTTTTACTTCAGCTGAAGCATAATAGATTCTGCTCCAGTCCCTTGTTGTAACTCTATTTGTGTGTCTTTCTGTTTCAGCTGGGTTTTGTGGAAACAGCAGATTGTTGGATTCTGCTTTCTAATCCATCCTGCTATGTATGTCCATTTTATAGATGAGCCCATCACTTTCAAATTTATAGTTATGAGTACTAACTGCATATTTCCCTCCATTCCATTTTCTTCCATTTATTCTTCCTCTTCTCTCTCTTTTTATCCTGTCCCTCCTCAAAGGTCTATTTTGCTTCTAACCACTGCCTCCCTTAATCTGCCCTTCCTCTTGTCATCTCCTCCTTTTCTCTTATCCCCTTGTCCTATTATTTTCCTGTTGGATAAGGTAGATTTCTATACCTCGTGGTCTGTGTATCTTATTTCACAGTTGCATGTAAAAACAATTTTTAACATTCCTTTTTAAAACTCTGAGTCCCACATTCTCTCCATTTCTCCCTCCCCACCCACCCTCACTGAGAAGATAAGCAATTCAATATAGGTTACACATGTGCAGTCATGCAAAAACACTTCCATAATAGTCATATTGGGAAAGACTAACTATATTTCCCTCCATCCTATCCAGCACCCCGTTTACTCTGTTTTTTCCTTTGACCTTGTCCCTCTTCAGAAGTTTTTGCTTCTGATTACTCCCTCCCCCAATCTG